AGGCGACCCGGCTGCCCCCAGGAGCCCTGCAGCAGGACGGGTGCAAGGCCTCCACTGCCCGGCTCCCCAGCCACTGGCGTGCGTGGGCAGGCATGCGGCCCCCGGTCAAGGAGGGAGCCCAGGGCCAGCAGGGCGAGTAGCCAGGGATAGCTTCCTCCTTCGTGACTCTGTCCCTTTTTTAAGGCCATTCGGGTCGGCGGCCATCACCACTTCCCATGGGCGCGAATTCCATAGGTTGGCTATATGGGGTGCGAGGAAGTCCTTCCTTTGATCTGCCCTAAACCTCCCGCCAATCAGCTTCATTATGGACGGCCTCTTTGGGTCTGGCATCATGCGAGAGGGAGAAAAACGCGCATTGTTTCAAACACCTCTGGCACATCTCCCCTTAGCTCCGCTTTGCAACTCTACCAAGCAATAAGGAATCACAATAATAAAGAAAACAGAATTGGGGCTTCTGAACATATGCAGAGTGCCACACCGCATCTTGAACAGCTGAGGAGCAAGCTAGGGACATGACTTCATGCAAGCAGGGCCCCGTGGTCTTCCTGGCGCCCCGTCCACACTCAGAGAGTGACAGTCACAGCTGTCCTACCATGTGGACCTTTGGTTTTCGTGCAAGGGTGACGCGCATCCCCTAAACGAGGCACAAGAACCGCTGAGAAGAGCGGCTACCAGAGCGACAAGGCGGGAACCATGCAGCGGCAGCGTGGACAGAGGGTCCGTAAAGTCCCCCCAAAATCCGCCACTGGAAAAGGAGGCACGCCACCTCTCGAGCAGGTGCCCACAGTGCAAAGGGGAGCCCCCCAAGCTTAAGACTGGACCCTGATCTGCCCTTTCAGGCAAGAGGTTTGCAGCTCGGCGTGTGAATTGTCGGCTCATCCAATGCAGAATTGGCTTTTCCCTTGGACCCCCCCCCCCCATGCAGGCCCCATGGAAAGGAGCAAGCCATGCCTAGCTCCTGATCCTCTCCCGGAAAGTTTTGCAGGAGAACCTCCCAGGAGACTGTGCCCAGAACTGACTGTGGTTATTTATTAAAAATAAGCTACACACAATTTTAACATGTATAATATTTCCTCGGTTTAGAGTCCTGTTTGTTGCGAAGGGAGAGAGCAGGGCAACTTCTTCTTCCTTCTCTTTCTCCTCCTATATTTTTATTTTATACTGATAATTTTAATTTTATTTTTGTAAATCAATGTATTCTTTGTATTTTTATATTTAATGGTAATTTATTATGTACTATTGTATTTCAATGTATTTTATCATGTTGTAAGCCGCCCCGAGGTTTCGGCAAGGGGCGGCATAGAAATGCTATAATAATAATAACAATAACCACTGGGATTGAAAAGTGTGCATTCGGGCATCGGGGCGAAAGGGGCTCAAGAAACCCAGAGCCCAGCCCTCACTTGGCCTGGAGGTTCACTTGGTGGCCTGGGCCAGTGGCTGCCTCTCAGCCGAGCCTACCTCACAGGGTTGCTGGTTTTGGGAGCTTAAAACGGACAGAAGAAAAATCTCGCAAGCTGCCCTGGACTGCTTCTCGGAGGAGGCAAGGGTGTGGGTGCATGTAAATGTAATAACCAGCGCCATTCATCTGCGTTGTGTAACTCTTGTGGCTCCTCAGCTGCATCCAGGCACCGCCTCTCTGCCCCTGCGCACCCCCCTTTCACTCCCCCTTGCTCAGAGGAACGAGAAGGGGGTCCAGGGGGGTTGGCAGCTCAAGCAGGCGTGTGGGACCTGCAAGTGAGGCCTGGAGAGGCGCTGCAGAAGCGGAGCGGGAAGGGACAGAGGGCTGCGGACGTTTACAAGCCCCGCTGGCTGCTGATCTCCTCTGCGTTCCCGTTGCAGGGGAGCCCGAGCAGGGGGGCACCCACACGCTGCTGTGCCCTGCTCGGGGCTTCCGGGGCAGCTGGCCGGCCCCGCGCGAGTCGTGTAATAGGCTAGAGGGGCCGACGCCGGGCCCATCCAGCAGGGCGCTTCTGAGGCCCTTGCAGGACCCAGGAAACATGCCGTGCGTGCGAAAGACGGGAGGAGGACGCCACTGCAACAGGCTCACGAGCGTTTCCGGAAAGAGACACACCGGCTGCCCTGCTGGATCGGGTCAAGACCCTCTCCTTTCCTGCAGCACTCGGCTAGATGACCCTGGGAAGCTTGGGGGACACATAGGGCAAGAAGGCTACACTGCAGACTCCCCCAGTCCCTGCAACTGGCCCTGCAAGGTAGACTGCTCCTGGATCTGGAAGGTCCGTAGAGCCATCAGGACCCACAGCCACTATGGCTGTATTCCCCCTCCTGGCACTGGAAACGGTCGCAATGGGGCCCTGTTCCTGAGCGGAAACGCGCAGAATTGAGCTGTGCTTTGCAGGCCTGGAAGCTGCTGTGTTCGGAGAAGGCAGGCACGAAGCTGAGTTGCGCCTTGCACGGCTGACAGGGAACTGGCCCAGGGGGTAAGAGTGAGGTGCGTGCGTGCACACACAATTGCACATGCATGCGCACAGCTGGTCCCCCGTCCCCAGCATGACCCAGGTGCAAAACTCCCATCTAACTCCCGTGAATTCCATGGACAATTTGTGGGCGATGTGAAAAGGGGCTTTTGGCACAGAGCCCTGGCCAAATTGGTAGTTGCCTCATTTTTGCAGGGGCTGCGACATGTCCGAGCTGAATGCAGGCCGCTCCGTAGGCAACAGAGACCTGCCCTCCGTTGCCACGCAGAGCCTCGAGCTTGCCTCGTCCGCCCTGTGGGTGCGCCCTCAATCCACTTCCCGGTGCTTCGGCTCGCTTGCCTGGCCAGAGCCCCGAAAGGGGACAGGAAGCATCCAGCCACCTGCCCCCGGAACGGCAGGCCAGGCGCAGCCCCACCAAGCCTGGGACCTGCCCCAGCCTGACTTTCCATCTGGTGAGGAGGCACCAAGGGTGGGCAGGAGAAAGCCTGGGAGTCCTGCACCGAGGAAGCTCACCCCGCAGGCTGCACCTTCTCAGGCTCATGTCTTCTGGATGTGCTGCACTAGTTCCCCTCACCTACCGCCAGCATGGTCAGCGGATACTGGGAGCTGTAGTCCTACCCAACTGGCAGACACCAGCCTGTGCTGCCCGAGCCCCCGAGAGGTTCGGGAAGTTGCTTGTACAGCCACCCAAAGCCAAATCGTCGCAGGGACCCGGAGCTGATCTGCCCCCGGGTAAAATGGGAGGGAGATGCAGCCCTCCTGCCGCGTAAGTCTCGGAATGATCTTGATCTTCTCGCTCCCCCGGCCTAGAACGGCGCACTGTTGGGGCGGCCGGGGGGCCCCTCTGCCGCGGCACATGCGTGGCTCCGGGAGCCGAAGGGACGGAGGCCCAGCGAGAGGCTGCAAGGTGCGCGGGGAGCGGCGCCGGGCGGTCGCGCGCCAGCCAGAATCGGCTACCCCAGGCAACCTTCCCCGGCCCAGACCCTCCGCCGCATGCAGCGCCGAGCTCACGTTCCAGACTGCCTCGCAGGGTGGCTGCGGAGGGGATGGAGACGGGGTCCAGAACGGCTGCAGCGGCTGAGACCGTCCAGCTTAGAAAAGGGGGCGAGGAAAGGCAGGGGGGGAGGGGTCCAAAATGAATCCCGGGGGGCAGAAAGTGGGCAGGGAGAGGTTTCTCTTCTCTCCCACGACACCCGGGGCCAGCGCTTGAAGCGGCTGCAGGGGGCTTGGGGCAGGGCAGCGGGGGGGCCGCCTCGCGCAGCAGAGCCGAGCGTCGGGACTGGCTTCCGTGGGGTGGCGGGCGGCCGCCCCTTTGCAGGGCTTGGGCAGGAGGCCGGGCAAGGCCTCCCGGGGCTCCCAGTCCTGGGGCACGGCGCTGCCCCGGGGGCAAAGGCAGGCGCCCGCGTGCGCCGGCCGCGGGGGCCCTTCTGTCCTGCCCGTGGGTTAGGCTCCCAGAGCCCCCGAACCCTCGGCAGTGGCCGCAGCGCGCGTGGACCGTGGCCCCGATCCCGGCCCGCCTCTGTGCAGCCCGCCGTGCGTGAATAACCGTGTGACACGAGCGCACCGATCTGGCCGGTGGCAACTCCGGGAGGCAGCGCTCCGAGAACCCCTGCCTGCTGCCCTGGAGAGCTGCTGCCAGTCCGTGTCGACAGCACAGGGCCGAGGGGCTGATCCAGCGCAAGGCGGGTTCCCGGCTACGGTCTTTCTCCGGAGGGCCCCTGGGTCAGTGGTGGAGGGCCGGCTTAGCATGCGGGAGGCTCCAGGCTCAGGCGGCGGAGTTAGGGGCCTGGCTGAGGAAGACCCTGCCTTCGAACACCTCCGCACCCCCCGCGGTCGCCAGTCCCTGTGGGCCGCTGAGGAGCGAAAGAAACCGAAACGGACAGGCGCGTGTACAAAGCACCTTCTGAAGCTCCCGCCGGCAGCCTCTGGCGCCCGTGCAGGAATTCTGTCATGCCCGAAGCAACAGCAGGACGCAGGCTGCAGACCCCCGCCCTGCCCCTCAAGTGCGCCCGCACTGGCAGGGACCCCGAAGGTGGCCGTGCGTGTGTGCGTGCGTGCGTGTGTGTGTGTGAGAGAGAGATCTTGGCTTCTTAAAAACCTCTAGCAGTGTTCCACTTATGCCTTATAATAATCTTTGAATAAGTAATTAAGAACTCCTCCCTCTCTCTCTCTCTCTCTCTCTCTCTCTCTCTCTCTCTCTCTCTCTCTCTCACACACACACACACACACACACACACACCTCCCTTAATTCAGGTTGACCCCGCTGCAGAACATTCTCCCGGGGAGGGAGGGCGGGGGCGGGAGCTCCAGCCGCCAGAATCCGCTCCGTACGAGGCACCGCTCGCTCGGGCAACTTTCTCCCCGCAAAACGAGCGCGCAGACAGCCCCCCCTCCCCGCCCCGGCTCGGTCCCGAGCGCGCCCTGCCGCAGGGCCCCTGTCCGGGGGCTCCCCGCGGAGCGCCGCCCGCCGGGCACACGCGCACCCCGGGCAACTCCGCGCGGCATCCCGGGAAGGCGGCGACCCGCCCCGCGCCGCGCCGACGCGCGCACTGGCCCGCGTACCTCGGAACGCCACCTTGGCTATCCGGTCTGCCTTGCCCCGCAGGTCGGTCACCATCTTCAGGTGCACGAGCAGGGCCATGGTGCCGGGCGGGAGCTGCCCGCGGCGCGGCGCGGCGCGGCGGCAGCGGCGGGGC